AATGATCTGCTGTGCCTTTGCAGTCACTGCTTAGCCCAAAGTAATATTACTTTTGATAATACTCAACACATGAATATTCCTGAAGTAATTCAGTCTCAAAAGTCTGGAATTTTCCTCCTCAATTAACTTTCTAATATTTGGACATGCAGTTGTCTCCAAATGTGGGTATTCGTGGGATTTCTAGTTAAACACCTACACTTTGATACTGAAGACTGCCAAATATGTAGGAATTTCTTTTCTTAAAGCAGTAGTGAAGACTGTATCTATCCTTTCCCAGCACTGAATGTTTTAATAGCACTGGGTGCTCACCATGAAGAAAATGTGGAAACTCAAAAGGTCAGGACAGACTCTAAGCACTTGCAACTGATGTTACTGACATCAATTTTAATAATTCTCAATATTTGTAGTTTTCAGAGAAGTTTTTAATATTTCTCTGTCCACTTTTATAAGCTTTAAAATGATTCTCCGCCTTGAGACTTGCATCAAGAAAAAAGCAACTCTCTTCACATCGAAAGCTTTGAAGACTAGGGACATGCTTTACACATTTTAGGAAATGTGGTTGAATCCACATTAGGTAGCATCAGTTGTTGAGTTTAAAAATTGATTATTGTTGCATTTGATCGAATGAATTTTAAAGGAACGTAATGTTTAATATTCAAATGATAACAGTTGCCAGAATGTTCTTTTTAATATAAAAGGAACAGGAACTTTGAAAAGTGAACATGCAAAACAGTCTTTTATCATTAGCTCATGTATTTGAGGAAGAGCAGCTGTCTTTTATATGTTTTTTGACAAATCATATTGTAATTCTTTTGTACAAAAAAGAAGTACTTGTATTCTAGAAGAAATATGAAATGCTTAATTTATAAGCGGGCTGAGGTTTTTTCCAGTATTGTTTTCTTTGAAAATGAAAGGGGATCATCTGTTCAGTTGTGGGGTTTGGGAACCTTTGAAAATTTAATTTGTGGACCAATATTTTGTGAAAGTGTAAGGCAGGGGTAAAATAGGGCTTGAATTCTCATCCTTTTTAGACCAGCAAACCACCCTCTGCAAGACATGTCTAAATTGCAAACCTGTGTGTATTTGCATAATGTCAGTTTGCTTCAGCCCCTAGTAACCTCAGGACTTGGTTTAAAAATAAAAAGGTAGACAGCTAATAAGTTTTCATACGTAATGTCAGCCAGAAAATATTTGGTGTCAGGTAATACATTTAAAAAAAAAAAAAAGTTGAGCTTTGTTTTCTATTTATTTCATTTGGTCCGTATTTGGGAATGATTTGAACAGTCTGAAGTTCAGCTTGGGTGTTTTTTTGGGGAGAGCCCTTCTACCCCATTTTAATTGCATTTAGAAGGTTGTCCTAAAGTTGTAGTTTGCTCTATTCATAGGAAGAACTGTGTATCTGTATTTAAAAAAAAATCCACCAGGATGTGCCCTCCCTGATGGGAAATTGAATTCTAACCTTCCTATTTTTTACAGCTAAAAGCACAGAAGGGACAACCTTTGAAATCATCTGATGTTGGTCATTTTAATTTTTGTACCTGTTTTAAATTCTGTTGCTGTATTTACTATATTGTAAATATTATGTTGAGGGTACCTATGTATTTTTGATTTGCCCTTGTTTCAGTAATTCAGGTGTCAACTGCTTCCCCTAAAAAGCACCAGTATGTTAAGTTCTAATGTCATGATCCCAATATGTGTTACTCATCTTTAATCCTGTTTTCATTCTTCATGTGTACAGCAGTATTTTTAATAAAGAATACCAGAAATAACATGGCCTTATTTTGACAATGTGAAGTTCTGAACTTGGATACAGGGCAACTTCAGCTTTTCCAGGTGCTGGAATTGTATTTCATTCTGTCATATTTCTTTTGTATTCACTGAGTCTGCAATGCAGAGTTTAAACAGTCATGAGTCACAAAGTGTGTTTAGTGCTTGCCACTCACAGTGTATCAGATGTCATAAAACTTACAGGTGTTGTTGACTAGAATCATACTAACACACATTTCCTTAACTTCCAAGTCAAGTCCCATCTGCTTCTGTCAGATCAGATCTGCTTTACTAGACAAGCCCTAATTTTGGAAACTCCGTTATTTCGTGTTTATTGAGGTGTTTTTACCCAGTAACAAAGTACATTAATTTCTCTGAGAATTTGCAAGTGGAGTCGTGACTGCTTCATTTCCCAGAATTATTTTCCTGGGAAATGATTTACTGGTGGGGTGAAATCTCCTATACCCATCCAATCCTGACCTTGCTTATGTAATGTGAAATTTTGTGCAATATATGTGAAATTGTCGATACTCCCTGCATGCATTTAACATGGAGTCATTATCCCTTAAATTGCAGTGGTTTAGAAATTTTATTATATAAGCTGCAGTAATCTTGATTGATGCACTTACCTAGTCTCCAGTTTCCTTCTTAGTAATGTGCAGCAACAGCTACACAACTCCTGCGGCAGTAGGCAATCCTATTGCGCTCTGCCTCCCCAGAGAAAGTTTCATCTCTGCTTCCTTCCAGCCCCCTTGTGGGTAGTTTATCTGCAGCGATCTGCAGAGATCCCCTCGGATTCTAAAATGCTGTATAGCAGAGAGCACTCAACTGAACATCTCTGTAGAGGCAGCATCCCCAGCTTCTCATGGATGGGGTGAGGATGTGGAGATTCTCTGAAGAAGAGAAAGCATCTACCAGGCCTAAGGTGATAACTCTTGTCACAGCTGGGGCTTTTTTGGGGACACAGCTCTGTTTTCCATCCCTTTGTCTGTACCAGATCTTCTAGCTGCAGAAGTAACCAGACATGGGGAGGCAGTTGAATGGATGTTTGTCAATGGGCTGCTTTGTCTTCCCCCACCATGAAACCTTGCCTTTCCCAGAGGCAGGGTTGAATTTTTGCCTCTAGACAGCAGTAAGCACTTCTTAGATGTACTGAATCTAGGGGATGTCACTTGCACAGGGAGCAGTACAAGTGTCCATCACTCTGCTTTGCTGGGTGAGAAGTGTGCCTTCTGTGTGATTATTCCATAATCTCCTTGGTCTACAAAAGTGGCCCATGGGATGGATCGTTTCCCAGATGTGTTAGTGCTGCCCCATGCTGAATCATCTGCTGCAGCAGCCTTTGGCACTGGATTGACTAGTTTGGCAGAACTCTGTGCATCCTTTCAAAAGCGAACTTTATTATATGAATTTAGCAGTCAAATACATTATATGAAGACAGAAAATGCAAGACAAAATAGGAGTTATTCACATCTGAAGAAATTTAGGGGGTTCATATAAAAGTAATCTTTGTAGTCCAGTTTTCTTAAATATTTATGCACAAAAAGCATATTTATATATTTACAATGTGCAAACATTTCCTTTGAGATGCATCATGCCATAACTTTTTGCTCAGTTGGAGTAAAGAAACAGTTCTTGAACTTTCTTTTTGTTTTGATCAAGATCGGATACACTTTACTAGCAAGAGACAGTGCAATAGATACTTAAAACTGATGATCTCTTGGCCAGGATGATCTAGAATTGATATGTAGCTGAGAAGTAGTGGTACATATTTCTTTTACTTGAATATCCAAGATCATTTTTCTTTGTAAATACACAAAAGGTCATTTGCCTTTAGGTCTGTTAGTGGATTAAGTTCACAGCTCCTAAGCTGATTTTTAAGAGGTCAGAACCATATTACATGTAGCATTTGAGTTAATATATATTTGTAGTGGACCACGAGAAGCTGAGATTGGGCAGTAGTTGTTGATTTGGAAGACATCAGTGCTACTGTGGTAAATGGCCAACTCTCATTTTAATATTGCATTCAAAGGTGAATGGGGGTAGTGCATCTGTATGCTGCTCGAACCAAAGACACTCATGCCCTTTCTGAGATGCTATACAAAAGTCTGCTGCAAATGAATGATACATTCTTATTCCTGTACATATATACTGGTAACTATCTAAATTTACCTGTCTTCATAGAAAAGCTGCCCTAATTTTCCAAGGAGATTGTCTTGTCATTTCTATCTGATCTCTTCAAACTCTTTACTGATCGATTAATTTAAAGTATATGCAGTTTAGTAGCCCTCCTGTCTTTTCAGACAGATTAGATTCCCATAAATAAAATATAATCAGTGCAGTGTTAGAAGCTCCACGACGTTTCGTGGATAGAGCTTGGCTTTAACATATCTAGCTTGTGGTTTGGTTCCAGTGTGTCTGTGTTGGCATACTGACAAAGTGCAAAACTTCAAGAATATTTACTTGATTTCAGCAGACTTGTCCAAACTGAATTGATATGTATCCCCTGTTGTTGCAGACCTGGCTCTGATCTTGGTTCTCTTCTGGCCTTGCCAATTGTGTTTTGCAACACAAATGTGAAAGCCTTGCCTCCCAAGACTCCTTACTGCCTTTGCCATCTGAAGCAGTAAGAACTGTATAATGCCCCGTCCCCTGCTAATTCAGCTTCCCTGGAGCATTAGCCTTCCCTCAAGTTTCACCAAGTAGAGTTTTCACTGAAAGCTGTAGAATGTGGTCTGTTTCTTGTTTCTCTCTTGAAGAATCCTTTTTTTTCCAGCACCACACAGGCCTCAGCAATAGGGTGCAAATTCCCCAGTGCCTGATGCGGGCTCCCAGCTGCCTCTCCTGACTGGGACACTGGTGCTGCACCCAAGTCCAAGCAGAGGTTGGTTGACTAGAGCATGAAATACCATCCTGCTGCCAGGGACCAAACAGTTAACTGGTTTTCTCTGTAATGGTGACCATCCAGGTTTTTCAGAAGCACTGGGCAATTTTAGTGCCAGCTGTTGGTGTTCAGCGTTTGGGAAAATCAAGGCCTAAGCATTAGTATTTTGCTATATTTTGTATATGTTTGTTGCAGTCTGTAGAAAAGCAGATCACTGACATTAAGCCAATGACATCTTTTTTAAATTTTAGCATAATTAAAATTACTTGGGTCAAAGTTTTTAAACTGACAGTGTTTCAGAAGGACCTTTTTGGATTAAATGCATATTTAAATCTTGGCCTAGAAGTACTTAAACGGGTGGCTGAGAATAAAGGATGACAGAGTTGTAGTCAGGAGGGGGAGAATGGCTTGCTTTCATTTTCTCCAGCACTGCATTACCGTATGTATATCTTCGCTTGGAGTCGCTGAGCTGGTCACAGCTGAAACTGCAGAAGCTTCTTGGCTTAGTTATTCCAGAAAGCACCGACTCCTTGCTCCTGCTGGCACCTTTCACGCTGTAACAGAGCAGCGTCACTGTGAGCGCATTTAACATGTACAGGCATTTGTTTTAATGACTTGAGCAAAGCCACGTCACAAAAGCAGCTTTGTTTATTCTCAGATGATGGGAACGGCAGTGCTGCAGATGGGATTGCTCAATGGGAGAGCAGAACAGAGGACTGAAAGAGCCCTCCTGTGTCCCCCTCGAGTCCCCTTCTGACCAGGGATGCTGTGACTGAACATCGCTGTTAATTGCGGGCAGAGTACTGTGGAGTGTCTGGCACCTGTTCTGCTGCTGGGCTGTGGATCCCCATAGGGTCCCCACGCCTAAATGTTCTTCCCTAGGGAGCTGGGGTTTTTTTTGGAGCAGGAGCAAAGTAATGAAAGGTCTCAAGCCTTGGGACAAAAGCAGAAAGCTACTCATGGAGGTGTTCCAAAAGCCTAATGGTGGGATGAATTTTTAAGGTAAATGGCTGATGTTTATGAGGAAGGGCACAAGGTCTGCATATCTCCTCTCTGAGGCTTCTCTTGGCAGCAGGCATGAACTGCTGGTTTGAATTAGAGTTTTCCTGTCTCAAAGGACCAGTTACCTGTAGGCTGCCTTTTATAAGATGCCCTTTACAAGAGGGGTTTAAATGTCTTCTCAGCTGAGCCACTTTTAAAGACACTGTTTGCCTTGCAGCATTTTCTCACCCGTATTAAAAGAGTGCAGTGCTTAAAAGGGCTCTCTCAATACTAAAGAAAGTTAAGGCAAACAGAATTTGCGCACCATTGATTGAACTAGATACCAAAGATTTATCTGTAGATGAAGGACAAGCCAGAGCATTTTCCATCGTTGATTATGTGTGAAATCCTAATATAAATGTATGTTGGACCACAGTGCCTAAATTAGATTCACTCCCCTGTATTTTTGTAAGTTTGTGGACACTCCATCCCTCTCTGTTTGTAAGGTCAGGAACGTTGGCAACCCTAGTCTTGAATTGCAGAGAAGACAGTCAGAACATCTGTTGAAGTTTTCAGACTCCAGGGTTTTGCTTTTTGTTTTAATTTGCAGGGCTAGATCTTTAAGTAAAGCCTAGAACTGGTAACACAGGGCCTTTCCTGACTGGGAAACAGAGAAGTAACAGTTTCTCTTAGGTATCACAGTTTCTTGAACCTTTAACTCACAAGCCTGTGTGCTTTTTAAGGAGTGGGGTCTCTGTCTTGTGTCCTACTTTAGGAAATTGGAGGGTCCTCCCAAGAAGACCACCCCATTACCATTTGCTTGTACACGGAGGGAGTTCATGAGGAGGAGCCCTCATGATGAGGACTGCAGATACATCCCATATTTTTATATTGCATTTGTTGGCAGATGGACAAGTAATTGCCATAGGATAAATTCCATAACTATGTGACAGACTCAATGGAATTTTTGTGATGCATTTAAAGAGAAGCGCTTCTGTGATTTACATTGTAATTGTAAGTCTTAGAGAGCAGCAGGCTGGCAAAAGTGGAGTGTGCATGCAAAGTTATGAGCCTTAAAGTCATCATGCTTTGATCCTTTCTTTCATTCATCATCAGATGTTTGCATCCTGAGAATTTTCTTGTGAGCTAGACTTGGCCTCTACTTTAATTAATAAAGCTTTATACCAGTAGAGCTGCATCTGTTAATTTTACCTTGAGTGCACGGCTGTACCTGGGCACACTCCCACAGGGAGCTTTGAGGGAGCCTGTGGGGTTTTGGCATCAGTAGTCAGGCTTCATTTTGAGACTGAGCTTACAGTCAGTGAAGTCTTCTCTAGCTGTGGACTATCTTCTTTCTGCTCTAGGAATGTAAATTAGAAACTGTGTCTATTTAGTTTTTTAATTGGGATCATTGGAGGAGGAAATGGCTGCTGCTGTCCTGCAGATTCAAGAACTGAGTGAGGTTAGAGGCTGACTGGGCTCTTGAGATGCTTGTTCCAGCTCACAAGTGGTGGAGTCTTACTGTTTTTTTGGCTTAGCAATTTGCTTTGACTCAAGGGTTTGCTCCAGCCTGGGGATTTTGGCTTACTTGGGTTGGGCTTTTTCACCAATACTGAAAAGCTAGAAGAGAGTTGCCGTTGGGATCCTTTCCACTTGCAAAGGAGCAGCGCTCAGAAGGTTGTTCTTTCTCTGCCCCCAAATCTTTCTGTTGGGATCTTATCTGAGGCCTTAAGTTAGGAAAGACTTCTCTGTCTTTTTGCTATTCACAGTATCTCTTACTTTCATCTCAATGGCAATAGCAAGTCCAAGACACATAGCAATAATTTCTGTTGAGCTCCTGGCCACCACCTGGGCCTGAGAGGCTCACCAGGGTTCAGGCTGATGTTCGTTTCCTATAGTGAAACCCAGGGTGAGCTTTGCATATTGGTGTCTTTCCCTCCACAGCAGTGGAGGCCTGAGGGGAGGGGACTCGCCTGGGTCAGTGGGGTACCCCAACACTGTCAGGTAAGCTGGCTCCCTGCTCTGCTTTCCCCAGGGCTGGTCAACGCTGAATGAGCACAAGCGCACGCACTGGTTCTCTCCTGGAGTCAATTGATTAGTTTACTCTGAAACAAATGCTGGGCGCGCTTGTGGGGACAGGTGGGATACACTGGTAGCCAAAGCTCCTTCCACCCTATGCAGTCCTTCAGCACTGGTGTGGCAGATGTGGCCCCACCAAGTGTGAATCTTCTGATGCTGCGCTCCGGGGCACACACACATCCTTGTGCTGGTCTGGAAGCATCACCCCACCTGGCTGGCTCACGTGTGATTTTGAATACTTCAAACTAGGAAAAAAAACCACGCCGAGCCCAATCGTTCTGCCCTGGGCAGCAGGGAAATGCGGGAACCCAGGGGACGGCAGGCCAGCCTGCCCCAGGCTGTAGGCAAGTGGGGAGCCACAAGGGCACAGCCCCTCAGCCTCTGCTCAGGACCCACCTGCTGGAGCGAGTGCATTTGTCTGCATCTGTGTCCTAAACTGCAGTGTTGAGTTTTACAGCGTGATGGTAAGTGCTCTGGGAGCAATTAGGTGAAGGTGATATAACTGTAAGCTGCTGCTAAGAGGGGGATGACTGCTTCCTTAGCCTGGTGCTGGCCTGATGGTGAGCTGCTACTCCTCGCTCAGAACCTGTTCTGGAGCTGTTGTGATAATCCATTGACCTGAACCAGCAATCTGCAAGGCAAGCCAAGCAGAAATGTCAGCATTTCAAGAGAAAGAGCAGGGTGCTTGAGATGCAAGGGAAGAAGCAGGGCTGTGCATCAGGTTACATCAGCTTACATGTGTCAAACCCCTCCAGGCTCCACCTTGTCCACTGTTCAACTTCCAGGGGTATTTGTTTACTGCTCTGATTTAGCCTAAGTAAAGGATGCTTTGCTAAGAAGCTACCGGTTTTCGGAATGCGTGCAGACAAAAGGGTCACTGCGTGCATTCACATACATGAGTGCTTTTTGGCATAGCGCTGCAGTACTGCTTGTTTAGCTTGCAGGTTCGATGACCTTGTATGTTCTCAGCCAACTGCTCTGTTGCCCCCAGAATGTGCATTCTAGCAGCCACTGTGGAGTTCAATTTTTTTTTCCCATCCAAGCATTCCTTTTCCTTCTGCAGCTGAAAATGGTCCTTAAAGCAATTCCAGAGGGATGCTTGGGCCACACTCCACATATTCTGTGCCATGCAAAGAAAAAGGCATTTCATACACTTCATTTGGGGAGGTTGCTATGTTGTCTCTGCAGCTGACAGAAGCCTTCAGAAATATCACATTTACACAAAGAAAAAATGGGTTAAACTGCTTCTAGGAAACATTGTGTCTTTTTGGGCCTTCTAATATCCACACGCATTCCAAGCTCTGTAATACCTGGCTTCTTAAAAGAGAGTATGGAAAACTGTCTCAATAAAATCAAAGCACCACAGAATTGCTCACAAGACTTTTCTGAAATGTGAGTGGTCAAGGCAGGAGAAAGGGTTTTCCAACACTTGTTTGGAGGGGCTTGAATCACCCCAGCTTTGCTACACGTGAGCAGTGCTCCATTACTGACTCCTGCCAGTGGCACGTTTACCCCGCACACCCTGTGTTTTGGCTGTGTGAGCGTGCACGCTCTCGTACATGTATTTCTGTGCATTTAACCAACGCCCTCTTAGTCACTGGAATTTTTCTCGAAGCAAGTCCTCTCTGCCTTGACTGCACGTTTCAGCCAGCTCCAATTGTTCATTGAGACAATACTACACCTCCCAGCCTCCCCAGCTGCAAGTCGCTGACAAGTTCGGCGTAGGCAGGATGGCAGGATGGCCTTGACCTCCTGCCAGTGTAAGATGAACGGTGGGTTGGGACTGGGCAGTCCCCAGACTGCCTGGGAGCAGCAAGCAGAAACCAGCCACAGACACTGCCACCTTCGCAGCGGCTGGGAACTGAGACACTGCCGGCATCAAGAAAATAAACATTTCCCATTTACAGAGAGTTCATGTCAGAGCAACACATTTCTTAGAGCAGCGCTAGTTCCCTGCTTGGGCAGCTGTCAGGAATTAGGTGGAGTAAGGTGGCCAATATATTAAAGTGCTTAAAGGCAGGAAGAGAAGAGAGGCCCTCACATCCATCTATTGTAAAGTTGCCACTTTAGCATCCTGAGCCCATGGGTGTTAAATGGTCTGTGCTTAGCTGAGTCATGGAAAAGAAGGGCAAAAACAAGCACAGGGAGCCTTGTCCCAGCTGGGGTGCCCTTGGAGACTTGCAGAAACAACTGCAGATCCTTTATAGCCACACATTCCTCCTCCCCCTTGCCAAGGGCTTGTTTCCTATTGTTACCTACCTCTACCTTGGTTTAGTGCTCCCCGGCACTCACTTGTCCAGCCTGGCATTAAGTTGAGGATCAGTCTGATCAATAGAGTGCTAATAAATCATATTGGCCATCTACTGGAAGAGGGGAGATTTAGATCAGATATTAGGAGGAAATTCTTCACTGCGGGGGTGGTGAGGCACTGGCACAGGTTGCCCAGAGAAGCTGTGGCTGCCCCCTCCCTGGCAGTGTTCAAGGCCAGGCTGGATGGGGCTTTGAGCAACCTGGTCTGGTGAAAGGTGTCCCTGCTTATGGCAGGGAGGTTGGAACTAGATGGTCTTTAAGGTCCCTTCCAACCCAAACAGTCCTATGGTTCTTATGTGCACTGAAGAGGTTGAGGGTTATTTGTCTTCTTGAAGGTGTATGGAGGGTTAGGTGTGGGAGCTGATTGCCTGCTGACTCAACGGAGCAGGACGCACCTCAGCAAGAGTTTGCAGGGACTAGGGACATGTCAGCTACTTTCACTAAGCCTGATTTAGCATAAGGACCTTGAATCCTCCTTTGCCCTTTGTGAAGGAGAAGAAGGAAACATGAAATACAGACCCAAAGAGTGTCCGTTTCTGCTTGCTGCCTGTCCATGTGAAGCGTTTCAGTTCTTCTGGAGCCAGCACCATCCCACTGTCTGCTTGGTAATCCTTGAAGAAAAAAGACAGACAACCTTATCAGGTGTTAACTGTAGAAAGTTACTTTTACAATGGGCTCAATTACTCTTTGGTCTGATTTTCAGCATCGCTTTGGTTGTTTAGACTCAGAGAGCTCTAGGAGACAGATGATCTGTGCTGCTGGAGGTGCCGCAGTGCCCAGGTGTTTAACATTGCCTTTCCGAACCATCCTTGCTTTGGGGCACAGTAAACATACGCTGCTAATGCAGATACAGAGTGTTAAAAGAAAGGTGTCTACACACAAGGTGAGGTTGTGGCCAACCACTAGTTCAGCCTTGAGAGCACTACCGTGCCTTTCCCACCTCCCACTGCTTAATGCGTACAACTGGGTCACTAAAAGTTTCCCCCAGACTCTCACCCATGCCCACCCCTACCAGGACAGTATGTGTGCCCCATCAGTAGACATTTCCCCAGCTTGTCTGCCTGATAACAGAACTCATTCATACCAGGAACCTCTGATGGAAATGTGACCCGTGATTCTCATTTGTGCACTACCATTCAGATGAAAACACAAACCCGAGGGATTTTAAGTGGCTCTCCCACACTGGTAGGACTCAGATGGGACTCTGGCAGCCATACCTTGCAGGCCTGCTGGCACCAGCCATTTCTTATCAAGAAAAGAGTGTTTGCAGCCCATTGCATGGTCAGCAAGGATCTACTGTCCCCAGTTTGTGGGACATGGGATAACACCATGCTGCAAGCACAGCACATCTTGCACCTCATATCAGTAGAGCTGACAGAGCAGTAAAACCCCTTCTTGATTCTCTCTGTATAAATCTGTCACATAAAGAAAAAAAAATGAATGGCATATCATTTGGCCCAAGAGTCACTTACATTAAATACAAGCCTTTCTTTGATGGGGAGCTCCTCAAATGTCTTTATGCGCTGGGGTGGTTTTATTTTGAAAGTGTTTATGTATCTGTTCAACAAGAAAAGCAGGACAATTTTTGATGAGAGTGTGAAGTGTGTAAGCAGGAAGCGCTAGGTGTTCCTCTGTTTCTTTAACCAGTTGTCTAACTGTCATCGAGGTAGTTTACACAAAAGGGACTTGTTAACCAGGCCCCACCCAAACCTCACTCCCCAGTCCTGGAGCCCACATAGCTGCCTCTCTCACAACACTGGAGCCCAGTGACCTGATGGTCCCCCTGGGCAGGGACACCTCAATGGGCCATCCCAGCCCAGCGGGATCCTGACGGTGGTGGCTTGGTGGCTGGTGGGACACTCAGGCCATGTGGGCTGTCTCTTTGTTTTCTCCCACCCAAGGCCAACCCAGGTTATGCAGCAAGCTACAATACCCAACAAACAAAAAACTCAGTCTTAATCTTCCTTATCTCACCTGACGTTTTCAGTGCTTCCACAACTTGAGCTCGTAACAGAAAAACTTTCATTGCACAAAGGATCAAGTGCCCCACTTTCTGTTGTAAATATCGTATTGAGGGGTATGTAGTCTTTGCCTTCCTAAATGCAAACAAGAAACAAAAGCGTTATTCCTGGGACCACGTGGCCGGTTGCCCCTACCTTGGTGACAGCGTGTGGATTTGACATTAGTACCTGCTGGACGTTTGCTTGCAGCAGGTCACCCAGCTTCTTCACCAGCTCGGAGAACCTTGGTCTGTCACTGGGGTTGCTTTGCCAGCAGTCCAGCATGATTTGGTAGCTGTGAGGACAAAAGCAAAATGAGCACATGGTGGGGTTACAGCTCACTTTGATCCAAGGCAGCACAGTCTCTGACAGCTTATCATCAATAAAGTTAACTCTTGAGCCTGCCTGATTTTACAAAGATGCTCTCCAACACCATTGAGGCCTCTGACTAAACGTAAGAGTTTGCTTTCCACAAAAAAAGAAAACCTTCTTCCCGCAAGACACCGAGAAGACCACATCAAAAGAATAATTTAGCCAACTAGTCATACTTTCTTTTTTTATTCCTAATTAAGCATTAAACCTTTGTATTAAACATCTATTAACTGGCAATGTTTAGGTTAAGGCATCCTAAGATGACTTATATGAATGTGTCACTTCCTTGTATTGGTTGAGTCGAGCTTTCCTTCCTGCAACAAAATATGTGGAAGAAAAAAAAAAAGCTCTTATCTACTGTCACTAGGATAATAAAATTAGCCAATGGGTAATACTCCCAAATAGGCATGGCTGGCTTGCATCCTTTTTCTTCTTCCAGAACTATTTTTTGGTAAGTGTTGCTATTCAGAGTCATGACGTAGCACTCGAAAAGGCACTGAAGACACCTACACATACTTGATTTTGCCTCCAGATTTAAAATACCCTGGATATGTTCACACTCCTGAATGATTTGTGCCACGGTGTGCATGTTTGGTGTGCTGCAGGTGCCTCCCTGAGCAGGGCGCTGTGTTCCGCTCCCAGGGCAGAGGGGCTGCAAACTCAGGGTCTCACCTGGACCCCCTAGGCCTCCAAAAAGGTGTTGGCCATGCAGCAGCAGCTGGAGGCTGCACCTGAAGGTAGGGAAGGAGAGTGACAACCAACTTCGCAGTGGAGAAGCTCGGACAAACCCTGCAGGTGACACAAGGTGGGAGGCTGCAGGTCCTCATCACCTTCCTCTGCCATCAGACACCATCTCTGGGAAAGGGTGGACCCTTGTCACCTGAGTGTTTGTGAGGAAGCCTCTGCTGTCGCTTCCTAAGTCAAGACAGCGTTAATAATGTCACATTCCTCCGGCACTTATCTGTATGCATGTCAGTAAATATTAAACCTGGAGAGGAATGAATGACCTTCCTCCTCCAGGCTGCTCACTCAGCTCCCCTCGGAGTCCAGCCCCTGTGGCACCCTGGGCTTAGGTCCACATCCCTCCTAACCCTCTCCTACCCCACAGGAGGGCCAGGGGGCCAAGGGGCAGAGGGGATGCAAGAAGATACTGATGAACAGCAAGAAGACATGAGGCAGCATCAGGCTGCTTTTCCTTATGTTGGTATGGGGTTCTTTTTGCGGAGACTTCTACATCATCTGCAAGGCAGCCCAGGAGGGCAGCGGTACACAAGCAGAGAAAGGCGTCTTACATCTCCTCGGTCGCTTGCTCTGGGGCTCGCATTCTTGTGCCTTCCTTTAGTCTGCTGCAGAAATCCTCATCTATTTGGACTCCAGGATAAGGAGAGGCACCTGGAGGTAACATTGGGAGAACAGGGTCATACATGCCTTGAGTTGGGTACCTGTGACGGAGCCTTCGCCCTACGCGTCCCCCTCAAACACTTGGGGTGAGTAGCATCTTCTTGCAGAGCTGGGAGCCTGGGGAGGTCCCCCTCTGTGGGGTCTGGCCCCTGCCAGCTGCCGCAGTCAGGCAACTGCAGTAAGCCTCGGTCCTTGGAGGGGAGCAAGATCAAACCTAGCTCTATTGGTGGTGCTTACCTGCCCTGAATGTAAAAAAATACACATGAATTTGACTTGAAAATTATCCCTCAAGAAAAGCCGAGTCTGATCACTTTATTGGTTTGGAACACCCCAAATTCTAGTAAGCAGATTATTAACGAACCCCAAATGCTCAAAACCACCTTGAAAATAATAAAATCATGGTTTTAAACCAGATCACAATACATTTGCCTTATTTTCCTAGTTTCTGTGTTTTTAAGATGCAGCCTGATTGTGCTGTTCTTTTTTCTGTAGACAAAAAAAAAAATCAGGAAAAGGGAAAATGAAAGGAAAAAAAAAAGACCTTTCAGAGTCAGACAGTTGCCAGGTTCAAGGAGCTGGGGCTTTAAGAAAAAAATAGCAGGTGTTATGAGGCTGACCATAAAATCACAAGAGTTGGCAAGCTGACCAACAACATGTATTTAAACTAATAAATGATTGATTGTCCTGAGAATTGTATAGTATTGTTTCCTCTGCTGTTCGCCTCTTTTGTCAGCCTTTATGTTGAACCCAATTAAGATTCTTCTATTCTGACAGTCATTGTTGTTCCCACTCAGTGTACATCTTGTATCCTGCCCTTTCCACGTGAAAGAAAGGAGAAAAAAAATCTTCACTGGGTTTTAATTTTGGATTGCATGCTCTACTTCATCCTGTGGCATCTGTGCAGATGCTTGTTCGCCTGCTGCATCCAGTGGCCCGGGTAAGGGGGGTGCTGGGTCCCTCCTGGGCTGGGCAGACCGCCTGGTCTCAGGCTGGAAATGGGGATGACACAGTCTGAGACGTGTGTGTTCAGCTCCCTTGCTCCCACAAGAGAAGCTTCTAAGGGAGCACCCAGCCCATGGCACTTGGTGTCTTGAATGCTGTATTTATGGCAGAGGAGGCAATGCCTCGGTCCCTGGCAGCTGCTAACCCAGGCCCACGGCTCTGTGTTATCCCACAGGGTTCCACACTCAATAAAAACTCTTAAAAATTTGCCCGAATTTCCTGGTTTGCACCGTCAGTCAGGCAAAGCACTGTGACTGCTCTGGCCATGCTGCCCTGCATCTCTACCAAGGGCTGCTACAGGGAAAAGAGGGAAGCTTAGATTTTGCCCATGGCAGAAATAGGTGGTAAAGTTCTCAGACAGCTGTGCTATCCATTAAGGCTTTAAGCTTTCAGTGCCCTTACAAGCACCAAAATTTCCAGTTCACAAGAGCGCGATACACACAGCTGTCTCCTCTGCCCCCACACCCCACCCCTGCCTGGTATGGGTCCTGCCTTATTAAAGACCTGTCAAAAGCTCGTCGAAGGTAATAGATGTTTTTCCCCAGGCTGAAGTCCCCGCCCCTGAGTCCAGCTCCCAGGGCGCAGAGTTAACGTACCCAAGGAAAATATCTCCCACAGCAAGACCCCGTAGGACCACACGTCGCTTTTTGTATTGTAGATTTTATCAAATATGGATTCTGGAGCCATCCACTTGAGAGGAAGTCGAGCCTGGAGTAAAAGGGACAAACCTGACTATTATTTTCAAAGCCTAAAATAATTTAATCATAGATGAATCAACTATATATTGTTATGTAAATAATTACCATTCAAACAGGAACCTGTGGGATTTCCTTACAGGCAGTCAAGATAAACCCACATTCATTCAGACATTTTCTTAACAAATTGACAGAGCAAAAGGCTGTTTTTAAAATATGTGTGGCACAAAACACCAGACGTTGGAAACCTGAAACCAGAGTGACTGGGCCTTTTCTTTACTGGGATGGGGGGATATGCAAGAGCAGAAGTCTCTTGCTGGCATCCTAGAGACAAGGGAGAAAACCCTACATCCAAGCGCAAATCCTTCTGTAATGGATTTGTTCTCAAGGAAATTTTCAGAGCCTGAATTTCAGGAGTATATCAGCAACACTTGAAGCCCCCTCAGTGCAGCCTGTTAGTGTCTCCTGAGCAGTAACCAAGTTACATGATCAATGTTTCCCAGCTAATACGTAGTGCTGTAGTCTTGAAAGATATTTACAGACCGGGGAATAGCTGGCAGGTGGGTGTAACCTCCAGAAGAAGACTTTCTGTATGACCCCAATGCCAACTCCAAATTCCCATGGCATCAGTGGGTGCAGGCACAGTTTGCTGACCCAGCCTTCACGGCAGGCCTGGCAGGGGGCTTACTGCCTGCCATTTGCAGCAGGAGCGAAAAAAAAAAACCCAAGCATGTGCTGGAGGCAGCGAGTCCAGCTCAGCGTCTTGAGGCACCATGAGCGGTGCTTGGCTGTGGTGTGGGTGCACAGGGGGACACGCACCTTGTTTTGGAGGGACTTGAAGGGTTTCCTTGAAGGAAGTTTACTCAGTAAGGGGGTTAGCCTAAGCCAGCCAAGAAACATGTCTAAAAAATATCTTAAGTATTAACAGGGCAGAACTGTGAAACAGCATGTCCAAGCATTATGCCTGAGGATAGAAATGCTTTCCAGATCTACAACGTATCTGGATAGCTCATCTTCACAGAAAAGCTGTGATGGATTTCAAGCTCTTTTAAGTTCAGGAAATGTGAACATCTACAGAACATTTTGGTGGACAGTTTAAAATGATACGTTATAAACATCTGGGTAAATAAACAGCATCTTGACTTACATCTCCTTTTCTCACATAATCAGGATTCTTATAAATATCTCTTGCAAGGCCAAAATCACAGATCTTCACGACATTGTTCTCAGATAAAAGGATGTTTCTGGCTGCCAGGTCACGATGAATGCACTATAATAAAACAGTTTCACAATCAAACTGCATTTCCTTAATCCTGCCCACAAATTTCCTGACTGTCTCCCATATCCTTTTAAAATGATTATTATTTGAGAGATCAATTTAATATTTTTTTTAGGGAAGTTGACTATAGTTTACATGAAGTTACTGTAAACAGAGGCAACTTTTAAAAAAACCCAAACTTTCCAAATCCAGAAAATGATAAATTTTCAAACCCCTTGACGTTTGCGGGGAAAGCACTCATTTATTTGCAGCTCTCTACCTAATATATGTCGAAATGAAGAAAAAAACCCCCACCACACCCAAAAGATCTTCCCTGAATGAATGAGCTTGACCCACTGCCTTCAGCCATGATCCTGTGTTTATGAACTACGGAGACTTGGATAAACACACTGTTATATTTATAACGCCAAGAGGAAAATGGCTCTTCCTTTGGGAGCTCTCCCAAGGAAGGTGTCACTAAAACGTAGACGTGATTTCACCTCTGAATCCCATCCTTCTGCAGGGAAAAATCCCCAGTGCAAAGCTCACCTTTCTGGAGGACAGGAACTCCATGCCTCTGGCCACCTGAAAGCTGTAAGAAATCAGGTCCTCCATAGTGAGGGGCAACTTGTAGAGCTCATCAGCATCTGCAAGATGGAAAATGCGGTTTGTTACAAAGATCGCTGACAAGGCAGTTATTTTCCCCCTCTCTTACTGACCCTATTACTCCCATAAATTCAGTCTTCACAGAGTAGTATTCAAAGGTCAACCCACTGTCACTGGAAGCAAAAATAGTGCTTGCTTTATACCCCACGCTTTGGGCACTGCTGTGTTTTCCCCAAAGATAAGGAGCAGTCAGAAGAAACAATCACACATTTTCCTGTCAGATTTAGTAACCCTGGAAATAATCTTTTTTTAAATCTTCTACCCTCTGGACATGACCCTGTGAGTGTCTCCCACGGATGTTTATTAGGGTGATAAATGAGGAAAAAAATTTCAGGGATGCACAGTATGTTGTAAAAATATCA